TTAGGACAGTGAGCTTCCCCGACTACTGGAAATTAAAGCAAGGCTTCAGTTAGTGGGAGGTATGCTTATGCATTTTTTTTGTTTTTTTTGTATTTACCGTTTTAAAGACTTTAGGGGACATTGATTAAATTTAATGGAATCCCCAGGTATATCTATAATTTGAACCCCAGATTGGATAAATTGCTTAGCATTTTAGCAAATGTTAAAGTTAAATTACCTTTTATTCTTCTTTCTCTGTGTCCGGTGCTTTGTTTTTAAATCACTAAGTAATCTGAGACGGGCAGCATTGTTTGTTGAACCTGGCATTAGCTCAGTACTTGATGTGTATAAAGTGTAAAGCCGCCACCCCTCTTCCACTGGTGGCTGCCTAAAGTGGAGGCCTCAGTTTTAAAATCACTGAGCTGCCTGAAATGGTGATTCTTAGTTTGGGTCTCTTGCTAATAGGAAGAAGGAGAGGAGAAGGGGTCTGTGCTTTTAGGTTGCCTTTTTCTTTTGTAAAACTTTTAGAATGGCTTGAATCATTAGGTGGCTAAAATTCTTTTTTCTCTCATTGGGTGTTTGCCTAACAGGCTCTTGGTATCCCAGAAGTCTCCTGTATTGAATGTGGTTTCCCTCATCTCAGTTGTAGGCATTTGCCTCCCTCTGCAGATGTCCCAGGAGACCTCATTAGGGTCAGGAGAACACAGGCACAGCAGACCCCAGCTGTAGCATCGCCGGCCAGGTCATCTCCCTGGTGCCATTTCCCCAGGGAAGGATGCATCTCTTGGCTGGAAAGCCAGGAAGCCTCAGACTGAATTTCCAACTCTGTGCAGTCACTGTGTCAGTCTTCCTTTCCTACTCTGCTCACACTTGTGTTTGCCCCATGCCTTACCCCTTTTCTAACAAGTCAGTGTACTTGAGCAGGACCGGTAGCAGGGAGTGGTGGAAATTGACTGTGGTTATACCTCTTACCCTGTTAAGGCTGACAGTTGTTGGTTCCCGAACCCTTGCGCGTCAGGGAGGGGAGTTTTAGCATCATTTAGCAAAGACAGCAGCAGCATGCACTGTGGCACAGATGCTGCCCAGCCAGCCAGGAAGCCTTCCCAAATGGTGCTCACCATGTGGGAGGGCCAGGAAGGAAGCCAAGAGCAGTCCGAATGCCTTTCGTTGTGTCCCTCATGGGATGTGCTTACCATTTGCTATACCAGTTGTATGTTTCTCTATTTTGGTTCTAAAGGCCTCTCTCTGGAGTGTAGCCATAAATACTAACCGTACCCAGAACTAGAGAGTTACATTCTGGTTAAGCAGGATGCAGACAAGGACACCACATTCATGAAGCAGCAGATTTTGTCGCCCACACATCCGTGAGATTTGAGGGCCCAGAAAAAGTATTAGAAATGGTAAGAGTGCTCAGGAGTCGGGGAGGAGCTGGAGAAGGGGAGCCTTTGGACTGTGCCTTTTTTG